TTTCGTGTTTAAAATAATTGTTTACGTTTATTTTATTTTATATTTAAATTTTAATTTAAAAAAAAAAAGGAAGATTAATAAGCAATGTGATTAATTATTCAAAAAAAAAGACCAATTCTTCAAAAGTACAAAAAAGACAGAGAAGACCTTCTTAGCCATACTTTAGTTTTACTGCAATACGCAAAAACTGCAATACGAGATGTTCCCTCGATCTGTAAAATCGATCGCAAAATAGGTTTTGTATTTGGTATTTATTTAACAGAAAATTCCTTATAAATCCCTAATGCCCTAATTCATTTCCTTGTCAGTCCCTCCTTTAATTTTTTTACTCTACACTCCCTAACTCATTTGTCTCTTTCCTCTCAACTCCCCATATATATACCTATATTATTATTATTCATTTATTTTACTTGATTTTCATAAAAAAAAAAAAAAATTAATTTCAGTTCTTTATGATCTTTCTCTTTTTCTTCTACGTCTTTGCTTCTCTCTCTCAAAATCAGTCGATCGTCTCACCCTGAAAATTCCATGGCCTCTATGAAAATTCCGTTCATCTCTTCGTTCATTCTCCCTCCCGTCGTCGGCCATATCTTCGGAAAGCTTGCCCTCCTACTCGTCGTTCCACATCCATTCTTTTCAGATAACCTCTTATCCCCAAAACAATGGCGGGCTCGGAAACCATCCTCCTCGTCGTTCCACATCCGACAAACCATCCTCCACAATAAGCAAGGTAAGATTTTGGGAATTTTTTTCAACAAATTTGAATTTTTCTTCAATTCGAAATTTGGGGATTTTTTTTTCAAAAATTTGATTTTTTTTTATTGAATTTGAGATTTTCAAAATTTGGTACTTGATTGATGCTAATGCACTTCGAATTTGAATTTTATTTCTCCAATTACAAATTTTATTGATAAATTAGGGCTCTCTTCATGTCTAGGGTTCATATTTTTTTGATTTTGATATTTTTTTTTTTATCAATTTAACATTGCATGAGTTCATTGGACTTCTTTTCAGGCCCAATTTTACTTGAATCTAGTCTGCAACTAGCCACTAAGGTATAGATTGGAAGCAGTCGGTTTTGGTTTATGTGATGAGTTGACATTTAACAATCAGATGGTTTTGGATGATGAAATTTTATATGATAACAAGTGGGATTATTAGCAGATATCAAGCTGCAGTCAAGAGAATATTTTCTATGATTTCACGTCCATTGGATGACTTTAAAGACCTTTACTATCCATCATATGCCGAGTGGGTAATATGGGGGACCCACACCGACATACTGAAAAACTCCTTTTTATATGCTATGTGCAACATTTTTCTTGAATAAACTTCATACAATTTTTATTTTTTTAATTATATTTGAGGTGAATTTTAGTAAACGCTGATAATAAACATGCCTGAGATCAGATAATTGTGGTGCTTTTGATTTTGGAACAGTATTTTGGGTACTTTCTTCAAAATCGAAAGTTATTCTTGATATATCTTCAAGTTTTATCATAATTCAGAAATGCATCTTTCCATTGTAATTACACATATCATAATTCTGATATTGGTGTTTAGTTTTCTAATTATTATTAGATTGTTTTTAATGGTATTTCTTCTACTTGTAAGCTACTCTCTTACTTCTGATTAGTACATTGAGACACTTTTTGTCTAACAGTAATGGTTGTAGCCACTCTTGAAAACTTTATTATATCTTTGTGCTTTTCTTGTGGTGTGTTGCATATTCCATTCATTTGAGTTGGTGGTCATGTATGATAAGCTTATTTGTTCATCTGATTGAATATTTCTTAGACAATAATATTGATCACCCAAGCTATTGTCCATTGAATAACTGCAATCTACACTGTCAAAAGTAAATAAAATAAGAAAATAATTTATGAAGGGTAGAGAAATGTTCAGTGCTCAGTAGAAACAGATGCCACGACGCTATTGGTTGGAGAATCTTCATGTTGAATCAGGTGAATTAATCATGGTATGATTATCTTCCTCAGCTCCAGACAAATGAATTGGCCTGAGTTCAATTTCACTTTGTAAAATGACATACTATAATCATAATGCTTACAGCTGCATTGGGTGTATATTGGGATCATTTACAAAACAGACCGAGGGCATGGCAGCAAGCATCCTCAGAATTCATTCATGTTCATACTGTTTGGCTTATGTTGTGAACAATATGTCTTATTGTAGATTTTTGGCTTGTTTTTGAACAATAGGTGTTATGAATGTGGATGTTTGGCTTGTTTTTGAACAATAGGTGTAGACTGTTTGGATGATGGTTTTGGAATATGGTTTATGGATGAAAGGGAACAAATAATATGATTTTTGTTTGTATTTTAAACTGTTACCAGTTTTTCCTTACATGAGTACCAACATTATGAGATATTAGTACTCATTTTTCCAGAGATGAGTACCTACTTTGTAAAAAGGAAAAAAGATGTGCAAGTTCTTTAATGATACCAGTTCTATGCAAACAGTCTTCTTCTATGAAGTAACAGTTCTTGATGAATTAGTACCTACTTTGTAGCATAAACAAAAATGAATTACTTCAATTATGGTCAACATTTGCAAAATTAGTACCAGACCTAGAGTAAGATAGTATCGATATTATGGTGTTCTAGTACCATATATCGGGTCTTCAGTACCAACTTCGACGAACATTAGAAAAATAAAAACGATTTTTGTAAAATAGTACTAATTTTACAATGTTTTTATGACCAAATCACGTGTGAACAATTCATTTAGTATATTAATTAATAATTCTATCTATATTAATTAATATTTTTCAACCAACTCTAACAATCATAAAAAAAAATGAATTCCGTAAAATGGTACCAGTTTTTCAAGAAATAATACCACTCATTCTTCTATTTAATACCAGTTCATGATGAATTAGTATCTACTTTGTAGAAAGAACAAAAAATGGTCACCAGTACCTACTTTTATTCATAGTACCAGTTTTGTATTGTTATAGTACCGGATATTAGCTCATCAGTACCACTTGTAACGAACACATAAAACACCGAATTTCGGTCTCAAATGATGTTTACATGACAAATAATCACTCTCACACTAGTTTTTATGAGATTTTTAATGTTTTTAATTAAGTTTAATTGAAAATTGGCCGTGGACTTGACACACTAATGAATACACACTACCAACACTTCATCTCCTTGAAATTGTACCAATTTTAGGGAAAATAGTACTGCATCTTCTTATACGTGGTACCTACTTTTGATCGATTAGTACCTGCTTTTGTTAAAAAAAATTGATTATTTCATTGGGGTCAACATTTACAAAAAGTAGTACCAGTCATAGTGTAAGTCAGTACCACATTATGGAGAGTTAGTACCAGATATCTTGTCCCTCGTACCACTTGTAATGAACACATAAGAAGACCGAACTTCGGTCGCAAATGATGTTTATACGACTCATGATCACTCCGACATTAGT